CTCAGAATATACGGGAAGACATGGGCATGCCTTCATGTCAAATCACATTACCTGTGTTATGCCTTGGGAAGATGAGGAGCGGCTGGAACTTCCCACCAGACAAAAGTAAGGAGTGATATTTTCTTTATGCTCTTTGCTGAACTGTGGATCAATGGACAAATATTTGGAAATGCTGAAAGGGAAGAAACAAAAATGAAATGGATGGAAAGCAAGAGACAGACAAAGATTCAATCCTTGCCCTAGCAAAGCTGCAAAATTTCTGTTGACTGCAGTGGTGCAGAACCAGAACAAAATAGGGGGTGGAGGAAAGCAAGGACAGGAAAAGGAAAGCAGGGAAGGATGGCTTCAGATGATTTTGTCCCTGTGTTCCCATCCCTGTTCCCCTCACCCACCATCAGCCTCCACTTTCTCCAGCTCTCATCTTTTCTCATTGCTGAAGCAGTAAGCTGTCATTTCTCATCCGGTATCTCCCATCCATCCATCAGCATGTCTGGGATAGGTGGCAGCTAATTCTGATGGGTGAATGACCCATCAGTATCCCTCACCAGTTCCCACGGGGCATGTAAACTGATCAAGCTAACAAATGCTGACAGGTGAGAGACATTCATCCACAGTTGCTACCGGTAGCAAAGACAGAGATGTAAAGGGTTCCATATGGTAGCTGTGTTTGATGGGAAACACAATGCCAGAAGAGAAACATCTCATCAGCCTGAACTGCACTCACTTCCCACAGTCCTTCACAGATTGCTCTTTGGGCTACCTAACGATCCCATGGGGCCCCTATAACGTAACTCTCTTCCTATTCTGCTGTAATGCCAAAGGTTTATGGGAGACCAGAAATATATTCTGCTACATGCATGCTGCCTAATAGATGTTGTCAGGTCGTGGTACAGATGTTGCCAAAAGCCCTTCCTCAAGAGAACAGAAAAACTTGGTGGAACCAGCACCTCATTCTTGGCAGTTGTTTTTCAGGGCATGTTGATGGGAATGAAAGAGCAAAAATCCTATTTCCAATTACCTAACACCAGAAAAAAATCGGGATTTCACAAGAAGAGAACAGCTGCAGTCAGTATTAGAACAAACTAGGTCACATCTCCCTTTCCAAATGCTTTTGCATGGATGGCTTTCTGTACCTGCAAATGGCAGAATATAATTCACAAGCCTATTCCAGACATTAGTGAAAATTTCTTCCCAAGACTCTTCACACAGCCAAAATCATAGTCAATCTCATAAAGACTCCCTTTAGTTTCTCTTCAGCTAATATAACTGTTTTTATTTAATCTTAGATTCATAGAAACATAGAATCGTTTAGGTTAAGATCATCAAGTCCAACTGTTAACCTAACACTGCCAAGTCCACCACTAAACCACGTTCCTAAGCACCACATCTACACGTCTTTTAAATACCTCCAGGGATGGTGGACTCAACCACTTCCCTGGGCAGCCTGGTCCAAGGCTTGACAATACTTTCAGTGAAGAAATTTTTCTTATCCAGGGATGGTGACTCCACCACTTCCCTGGGCAGCCTGTTCCAAGGCTTGACAACCCTTTCAGTGTTTTTTCTAATTTCCTCATGTCCAATCTAAACCTCCCCTGGCGCAACTTGAGGCCGTTTCCTCTCGTCCTATCACTTGTTACTTGGGAGAAGAGACCAACACCCACCTCGCTACAACCTCCTTTCAGGTAGTTGTAGAGAGCAGTAAGGTCTCCCCTGAGCCTCCTGTTCTCCAGGCTAAACAACCCCAGTTCCCTCAGCTGCTCCTCATCAGACTTGTGCTCTAGACCCTTCACCAGCTTCATTGCTCTTCTTTGGACACGCTCCAGCACCTCGACGTCCTTCTTGTAGTGAGGGGCCCAAAACTGAACACAGTATTTGAGGTGCGGCCTCACCAGTGCTGAGTACAGGGGCATGATCACTGCCCTACTCCTGCTGGCCACACTATTTCTGGTACAAGCCAGGATGCCATTGGCCTTCTTGGCCACCTGGGCACACTGCCAGCTCATGTTCATCCAGCTGTCGACCAGCACCCCCAGGTCCTTTTCTGCTGGGCAGCTTTCCAGCCACTCTTCCCCAAGCCTGTAGCGCTGCATGGGGTTGTTGTGGCCGAAGTGCAGGACCCGGCACTTGGCCTTGTTGAACCTCACACAGTTGGCCTTGGCCCATCGATGCAGCCTGTCCAGGTCCCTCTGCAGAGCCTTCCTACCCTCGAGCAGATCAACGCTCCCGCCCAACTTGGTGTTGTCTGCAAACTTACTGAGGGTGCACTCGATCCCCTCATCCAGATCATTGACAAAGATATTGAACAGAACTGGCCCCAGTACTGAGCCCTGGGGAACACCGCTTGTGACCGTCCACCAACTGGATTTAACTCCATTCACCACCACTCTCTGGGCCCAGCTGTCCAGCCAATTTTTTATCCAGCAAAGAGTAATCTTGCAATGATGCAGTTTTTCCACTAAGAGGTGGAAAATCGAGATGGAAGGGAATATTTTCCCTTCCATTGGTTGGCTGTCTTCTCTTTCCCAATAGTGTCCAAGTTTCACTGAACAACTCTGTTTCTGCACAGCCATTTCAGACTTCACGCCTTATCTTGAGCCAGCGCTTAGTTTGATCTGGGTTCTTACAGTCTACAGTCATAAGTAGGATGTTTCATTTCAACATTATTCCCATTCGTCACTCATTGAGCCGCATGCTTATGATGCATGTCATAACGAACTTCATTCCTTACGTCTGCTTCCACAGGCAAGAAATCCACATGCGCCAGCTTCTGCTAGTGATGTTCTCCAGATGCCCAGCTCTATTTGGTAACGTTTCTCTTTTGCCGCACTAAACGCGTCTCTCATTTCCTTTCACCATTCCAGCAAGACGTGGCCATTCGGGGCAGCCGGGTCTCCTCCAGAGACATTCCTCTCAGTCGCTTTGCAGGGCTCTTCTGGCTGATGTGCTGGCAGCCAGCGAGTGCGTGTGTCAATCTTCTAAGCTCCATCCATTGTTTTCACCTGCGTTTGAAAGGTCTGCTCTTCTCAGTGCAGCTATCTATTCATCATTTGTTGTTTAGCCCATTCTCCCTACAGTGGTTTAGCCCCAGAGTAGACAGAATAATCCCATTTGGGTTTGAGCCTGTCTTTTCCGTAAAGAAAATGTTACAGACATCGCTATTTTGCACTGGGATTCCTGCCAGTTAGCTGCATCGACGATAAGGATTGATTCTTTGGAAGATATTTTACTGAAGCTAAGGAAACACTTCTGGGGAGAAAACAAAGTTTTAACACGACACTTCAAAAAGAAGGCTATCCCGAGAACATAAGCCTATTGGAGTTTTAACTAAAAATCTTTCTTGGCTTGTCCACTGGAAGCTCAGCCATCCTTGGGCTCGTGGTTGCTGGGGTAATGCACTGCTGTTTGTAACACTTTCCCCCGACGTTGAGCTCACTGCAACTAGATGGACACAACTCTGTCCTGCGGCGTTTGAGCAGGCATTTGTCAATGGTGGCCTGTCGCTGCCTGGAAAAGCAGTACAGCATGAGCGGCCCCAGCGCTTCGCAGGCAGCCCTCTTCCAAGGAGGCGAAGCGCAGGCTGGGGCTGGGGCAGGGCTCATCGCTCCATCACCTCAAGGTGCAGCACTGCTTCTGGGCTTCCATAATGCGCAACACCCAGGTCATCCATGTTAGCGCCAGGCAGGTCACTATTTTCTAATCGAGCATTGCGCATCTTTTGTCAGAAGAAATCCCCTAGCGCCATGACATTTAGCGTGAGGCAGTTTGTGGGCTTTTCTTTGTGGCTCTTCTTTGCCACAAGGAAACTTGGTGTCCAGTCAGACAAGCCAGTGGGTTTGTGGCGGCAGTGTACATCTGCACAAACCACGGCGGTGGCTCTTGGGAAGGCCCTGAGGGCACGGGCAGGGGCACGGGCAGGGGCACAGCCCCTCGCAGCCCCGCTCCCGCCTTCGCGGGCCCGCGCCCGGGGCCCCCCCCCCCCCCCGCCGCAACCACCAGCACCAGGTGCGAGCCGGCAGCGCGAAGGCAAAGGCAACGCCCGGCTTCCCCCGCCCTCTTTACGCATGCGCGGGCAGGCGCGGCAGCGCCACCTTGCCGCCCTTATCGCCACTGCAAGGCGCGGCCCGTCGCGCATGCTCACTCGGCGGAAGCGGCCGGCCGAGGATG